GGGAGGCACAGGGCAGAGGGTCGGGGCTGTGACAGGGTGGGGGGAGGCAAAGGGCACACAGAGGGTCGGGGCTGTGACGGGGGAGGCACAGGGCACACAGAGGGTCGGGGCTGTGACGGGGGAGGCACAGGGCACACAGGGTGAGGGCTGTGACGGGGGAGGCACAGGGCAAAGGAGTCAGGGTAGAAGTTATCTACCACAAACCCTCAGCTCCAGATTCCATCAAAAAAGCTTACTTATTGTGCGTGTCCGAGGGCGTCTTCCCAGCTTCCTCATCTAGACGCTCCCTGGTAGCAGAAGAGAACTGTTGGCTCAGGGTTCCAAGGCCCAGAGTGGGAAGGCACCTTCCTCCCCAAGCCTCCTCTAGGGTCCCACCAAGGACCAGAGAGTTCAATTTGCCAGGTTCCCCAGGCCTCTGTGACCCCATGCTGGTCTGTGTTCCCACCTGTCCATGTGGCTCTTCTCCAGCAGACACTGCAGAACAGCATCCAGTTGGTTCCGGGCCTTGGCCATCTCCATGTCTGGGGGAAAAGGGTACCCAGCGGGAGTCAGTTCCTAGGTCCCAGGCAGGTAGGCCAGGGAAGCGTATATCTATCCTCCACCATGGCCAATCCTACGGGGAGGCATGCTGAGAGGGAGCTGCAGACGGAAGCTAGTCAAGTGCTTCACAAGAGCTCTGGGCTTCAGGCTGTGCCAAAGGCTCACTGTGTGCCCTGAGGTAAGACTCCTCACCTAATGCAGATGTTTCCTCATTTTGAAATGGGTCTCTGGGTGATGTGTACCTGCGAGGACTGTGGCGAGGTTTAAAGTAGCCTAATGTTGTGAGCCTGTTAGTAAGATGCAATAATGAACATAATAAATCACACGTACAGAGTGCTTAGTACGGGCCAGGTATCTGCCAAGCACATCACACTCACTGAATCCTCATAACAGCCTTTGGTGGTGGTTCTGGATGTTTCTATAATGATCTCAAATTCCATATGGTATAAGTCACTACCGGCTATGCTTTTAAAATACATATTTATAATAAGTCATAACATGAACTTAGAAACATCTACCTTTGAAAACAAATGACATATTACATTGGGCAAATCTGCTGCAAAAAACCTCTGTAAAGTGTTAAAAAGCAAAAGATGTCACCTTGAAGACTAAGGTGCGCCTGATCCAAGCCATGGTATTTCCAATCACTTCATATGCATGTGAAAGAGGGACAATGAATATAGAATACCAAAGAAAAATTAACGCCTTTGAATTATGGTGTTGGTGAAAAATATTGAATGTACCATGAACTGCCAGAAGAACGAACAAATCTGTCTTGGAAAAAGTACAGCCAGAGTGCTCCTTAGAATGGAGATGGCAAGACATGGTCCCACATACTTTGGACATGTTATCAGGAGGGACCAGTCCCTGGAGAAGGACATCATGCTTGGTAAAGTACAGGGTCAGCGAAAAAGACGAAGATCCTCAAGGAGATGGACTGACACAGTGGCTGCAACAATGGGCTCGAACATAACAATGATTGTGAGGATGGCGCAGGACTGGGCAGGCAGCGTTTTGTTCTGTTGTACACAGGGTCGCTATGAGTTGGAACCGACCTGATGGCACCTAACAGTAACCTTTGTAAGGCTCTCTAACATTAACTATAAATCGTTAATTATAACTACAAACCTGTACATCATTAGAAAGGTATTTCTAAAACTTCTGAACTTAGACACAGAAGCATGTGAAGTGTGTGCAGAATGTGGTAAACAACCTTTAAGGTGACTTTGACCCAGCATGCTGTGAAAAAAGATGACACAACAGTTAATCTTCGTAAACTATCCTTGAGACATAAGTCTAAACAACCTCTCTAATCTCTAACCTTGAAGAAGAAATATGTGACATTCGGCTAATCTCTAACCCTAGAGAAGAGACATCACACGCTAGCCTCTGATGTCATGCTGATCTTTATTGTGTGTGGCCAAGGTAAGAATGTCACTTATAAGCCCTGATTTCCTGCTCACTCACTGAGAGAAGGCCAAGGCAAAGGGCTCTTTCTCTAGTCTCTTACTCTCTCTGAAGACCGAGAACCTGCTGAGACTCTGCCTGCCGCAGCCAACTTCAGACCCCAGCTACGAGGGACCTCCACCAAGTTCGAGCCGCGGTCAAGCTTTCCTCCTGACACCTTACAGGTAAAAGCCTGAAGTCTAAAGATGCGGACTCCTGAACTAACACTAATTGTAACTGGTAATTCTGATTCTCCAACTCTGAATGAATGTTGTGAGGTCTTACTTGTGTGCCTTGCCGACTACCTTGCAATATACTGAACAAGCTTATGCAAGGCAAACCTGAGTATCTCTCTATTAATTTTCTGCTGTACATAGGGTCGCTATGAGTTGGAACCGACTCGACAGCACCTAACAACAACAGTTTTCTAAGATAAAACTCTACACAGCAAGTGGTGCAGTCGGCAATTGTTATCAATGATTGATTACTGGCTATTGGTTATTGATTACTGGTAATCAATTATTAATCATAAAATCATAAAAATTAATGAAATACACGCTCATATACATGGTAATACCCAGACTAACTAAATTTGAACAAAACTGGGTCCATTTGGTGTGGCAAAAAGCTATTGGTCAATCATATTTATAAACTGAAACCAAGCGGGCATGAGTTGGACAGTTAAAAGCCATTACGGTGTCCGCCATTATAAATGAGTCTTCTCGTGAGAGGGACCACTGGTCACAGGTCAAGCAAAGATACCACTGAGGTGCTTGCCAGTATAAAAAAGTACCCCAAGCAAGGCACATTGTTTTCCACCCTCTGGAAGACACCCGATCTGCTCGAATCAGTAGCCTAGTGGCTAGCTGGAATAAGACTAGGAGCCCAAGACACGAGGTGCATAAGCAACATTGGATTCAACCGGTAACACAATCAGCCCAAACCCCAACCCTATCCCATAAAGAAACAGGGCACAGACAATAGTATATGACTGTCCAAGACGCTCTAAACCACAACCTTTCAATCTGTCTCTGGCTATAACCGGCATGAATATTTGCAATGTAATATTGATCTGAACAAGGGGCATCCAAAATATTATTCAAATAAAAGGAACTTTAATACTGAAGAGCACCAAGAATCAGGAAAACTAAAGATTATTACTTAAATTACTAACAAAAAATGAACAGACTCAGGCAAATATTTTACCAGGGTCAGGAGAAAGGATCACGTACTCTCCAGCAACAATCCCAGGAGGCTCACAGGGGGTTTAGTAAGGGGAAATTTAAAAGATACCCCTGATGGGGGCCTTATCACCTCACCACAGGAGTGATATCCTATAACTAAAGGGCTAAAAAGAATTACCCACTCTGTTGTTAGGAGCACCCAGTAATATAAAAAATCCTAAAAAACCCATTGTCATTGAGTCAATTCTGACTCATAGTGACCCTACAGGACAGAGCAGAACTGCCCCATAGGGTTTCCAAGGAGCGGCTGGTGGATTCGAACTGCTGACCTTTTAGTTACCAGCCATAGCTCTTAACCACTGTGCCACAAATAAGTAAAAAGATAAATCTGGATATAGGGGAGGAAATTTTATATATGCATATGATATTAAAGTAAAATCAAAGTTCATAATCCAACTGGAAATCCAAAATGTATTACATTAATTTGATGATTATTCTTATATTATTACTATCATAATCATTTATATAGCAAAAGATAAAAGGCACTGACTGGCATTTTAGGCCTCTACAACATAAATTCTAAATTAACTTTGGCATCAGGGATACAATTTAAAACCTCTTAGATGAAGGAGGAAATGTTGCAACCATCTCCCTGTATTAACAAACCAATTTGGCCCATTTAAAAAAAACAATCCTTTTGGTCTTCAGATTTGTAATTTTTAAATCTCTGGATAACTTAGAACTCCAGTGGCCTTACTAGGATTCATCCTTTTAGACAAGATTGTTTTTTTATAAAGTAAATTAGAAAAGATAATCACAGTGCTAAAGAGCCCCAAATGAGAGGCTTATCTTAATTGGTATTCTGAGGCCACAAGTAAATCTAATAAATTTAAAATAACCTCCTTAAAAGACTTCCTATAGAAAGCAAATGACAAATTAAAAAATCAACAGCTAAGAATTCAATCTTGTAAGCAAGAAAAAAGAATTGTTTTAAATTATAAGGAAACATTACAGCAGGTTTTCTGTGAGCATCTGGGGCTCTCTATTGTAAATCATATGGAGCCCTGGCGGCGCAGTGGTTAAGAGCTCAGGTTGCTAATCAAAAGGTCAGCAGTTCGAATCCACCAGCTGCTCCTTGGAAACCCTATGGGGCAGTCCTACTCTGTCCTATAGGGTCACTATGAGTGGGAACTGACTTGACTGGCAACAGGTTTGGTTTTTTTTGGCATTGTAAATCATAGAGCTGAGTGAGTCCTGATGCCTCATTTTATAAATAGACTCAAATTTAAATTGGGACTACTTATTAAAAACATAAACTTGAATGGGAAACTCTCCCTTTAAAACAAATACTTCAGCTACTTAATATCTTGAGCGGGTCTTAAAAGAAGAAACAAATAAAAACCTCTGAAGGCTGAGAAAAGATGGTTTAACTAATACGTTATGATAAAAGAAAAAGCTGTGAGGAACAGGACACAAGGAAAAGATCAGTCCAAAGGACTAAGGGACCACAGCTACCGAGGCCTCCACCAGCCTGAGTCCAGTACAGCTAGATGGTGCCCGGCTACCACCACTGTCTGCTCTGACCAGGATCACAACAGAGGG